CGCGGGAGGCGCGGCGGCTCGGGTAGGGCACGGCGATGGTGGTGGTGGTGGTGGTTGGCGGCGGGGCGGTATTTAAGGAGGGGAGGGGGCGGCGGTGGCTTGGGGAAGGGGGCGCCCCGGGAGGAGTCCGGCTCGGGCTCCCCTCGGCGTCCGTGCGGCGCACGGCGGCGCGCGCGGGGAAAGCGGCGGCGAGGCGGGCCGGCCTGGCTGGGCCTTGGGCCTGGTCGGGCGCGGGCGCAAGTTTTTTTTTTTAATAAATTCCGCCGGAACTTAGAAAATCCTAGAAAAATAAATAAAAATCTGAAAATACCAAAATAAATTTTCACCAATGAAATATTTAGGACGAGGTGAACATTTTCTTGGCCCTAAATACAATTTTGGAAAACGTGCAAATTTTTCTAATGCAAATAAAATCCGAATAAAATCAACTAAGATCAAATAAATGATTTTAACATTTTTCCTCCAATATTTTAATTATTTTGGAGAAGTCATATTATCTCCTCTCATTTATTTTTGGTCCGAAGTATTTTTCGGAGAAAGAATAATTAAAATAAAAAATCATCGTTTCATTCTTTGGTACGAAAATCCAAATATGAAACCGAAGAATCACCAACTCTCTCCGAGGGTCCTTGAGTTGCTCAGGATTTCGAGGATTTCAAAACGGAAAAGAAATAGAATATGATATGCATGAATGACCTATGTATAACATTCCAAATTAAGAATTTGGGATGTTACACATGGTCACACACCCACACTTTTCGAATTCTGAAGACTAAGTTATCAAAGAAGTTGATTTGAGAAAAACTGGACCTACACAAATATGTACATAAGTAGGACCATGATTAGTAGCCATAAAGGAGGTTAGATGTAAAAAGATAACAACTAAGGAAGCAAGCAAAGTATAGAGACAGTACAGTATAGTTGCACGAAAAATTACTAACTCATGCTAACTATTTAAGAAAGACTATTTTATGCAAGGGACAATATGCTGATTTAATTAGATGTTGCCACCGCACGGTGATTAGACAACATGGGTTTATGTGGGATGGCAAACCAGAAACCACCAGTTACAATGGGAGAAGGAGCCTGAAATTAACTCAAATACCATGCTTGAGATACATGAATTCTTCGATCTGTCATAACTATCTCGGAGTTTATATGAGCGACTACCTCACAGGTAGAGGGGATCTTACCTAAAATGTCATGCACAAGGACATCCAGCTATCAAGGCTAATCTCAGAATATCTTAGAACACCGATGTTATTTCCCTTGGTTCACCCATTCCTGCAATATCCAGGGAATCAGCATAATTAGCCCTTAGTTCATACATCATGCAACTTGCTCTCGCACTGAAACCAGAATAGGAATTTGTCAGCAATATCCACAGGTTTCATATGTCCTTTATTCTTATTAATTTTAGTCTCGAATTACCTCCTGACGGGTAAATGTCTGAACTTGCAGTCAGATATTTCAGCATCCAAAGCAATAAGGTTGGGATCATCTAAGAGTATTATCATTACAAAGCAACAATTTCTGAACTTACAGTCAGACAAAAGTAATATATGGGAAGCAACTGTATGCAATGCAACAATCATAATCAGGGCAAGCAGTAATGTTATATGACTATCATCCATTGTTTTTAAGGCGTCCCGCTTTAGAGGCGTCCCACCTTGGACGCTTAGGCGATAAGGCGCCCCCCAGCGCCTTACAAATATGCCTGCCTTAGGCGCTTAGGCGTCGCCTAGGCGATAAGGCGCCCCCCAGCGCCTTAGGTCGCCTTACCGCCTTAAAAACCATGCTATCATCATTGTCCATTGGAGATCTTTATAAGCCAAATTAAATGAAAGGAAAATATTAGGACCCCCACAGTTTGTCGTGGCTGAAACTATATGAAAAATTAACAATAAAACTTCCACATTCCATGTTTATCCAAAATTTACTTTAAGAAACAGATTCTCATTTTTCTACACTTGCCCATATATTTCTAATGAAGAATAAACGGCATGGGACTGGATACAGTGGGAGCAGGTTTGTCAGTCTTTGTTTTAAGCAAACAGTATGATAGTAAGAAAGGAGATCACAATCTTAATGCACTAAAAATGAATAAAATGTATAAACATATATTATAACCCTACATACCGGCAAAACTATTTAAATTTTGTGAACAGGAGATGCCTCAAAGATAACTTACATAATTAATTTGGAAAGGCATAAACCTTTGATGTTTATAATGATGACTCTGGAATCTGTACCATCAGATATTCGATACTGAGAATGCCTCAGCAATCTATTCAGATCTAAACTTATATATCATTCCATGAAAAGGGCGATAATCCATCTAAGTGGATAGAGAAAAACCCTATGCATATTATGAAATAACATATATTAGCGAGTCTGACACTTAAACCATTATCGGCAAATCATCTGAAATATGAAGTTGTAGCATTAAAATGGCATAGACAGACGTATATGCTTCCGCAAGAAACTATCAATTATTCATGAGAAATGAGAAATCGTCGAAAAGGTATATCAATAAATATGTCTTCATAGAAATCAGCAAAGTATTTTGTGGAAGCAACAAATTAATGTAGTTGGAAATACGTTTACCTTTAGTTGCCTCCAGTGCACACCATCGCCTCTCTGATTAGATCAAGTACTCAACCTGAAACACTATCAATTGTTCATGAGAAATGATGCTTGAGAAATGAGAAACTATCGAAAAGGTATATCAATAAATATGTCTTCATAGAAATCAGCAAAGTATTTTGTGGAAGCAACAAATTAATGTAGATGAAAATACCAATTTACCTTTAGTTTCCTCCAGTGCACACCATCGCCTCTCTGATTAGATCAAGTACTCAACCTGAAATAATCAAGCTTTCTCCCAGTTATTCTCCGTTTGCATGTGTACACATAGTAGTGAAAAAAGATATTGAAGTGGGCATGCAGAATAGGTTATCGGCCAGCGTATAAAAGTGGAGAATTTCTGAAAATATATTTGTTTATAATAGGAAGCATGAACACACCAAATAAGTCTCACATTGCATATAATTTCTTACAAAGAAGAGTTCAAATAAAGTTAAGGTACGACATAAGAAGTCAGGTGTGCATTTCCTCTATTAAATTTTATCCGCAAGCATAACACCATGGAAACCTCAAGCAATTATATTTGCTTCATCATAACATATTAAAGTACTCCCTCCGTCCTGAAATACTTGTCGGAGAAATGCATAAAAATGAATGTGTCTAGAACTAAAATACATTTAGATACATCCATTCCTCCGACGAGTATTTCCGGACGGAGGGAGTAGCAAATTGCGTAGATTAGGAGATTCATCATATTCATACATGGCTGAACAATACAAAACAACAAAGAAATTTGGAATTGGGACCACCTACTACTGCTGCTCCTTGCTGCCATAGTGCCATTTATCGATGTTCAATGCAAGAAGGAAGCAATCAGCCACAAACTAAGCAATTAATCAAAGGAAGCACAGAGTAACGTACGGATGGTAATGAGCAACCAACTCGTTGGGGAACCTTTGCTTCGGCCATCACAGGGGCTTCCCCGTCTCTCTCCCCTCCCGCAGCATCGTTGTTCTTCAGCGGGCGCAAATTGGTATTACCCCATCACATCTGAACAAATTGAACTATTAACAATATAAATCATAGGCACCAATAATAACTGGAAATGGCACCAAAGAACACACTAACGAATCTGAAGCCTCAGGACAACTCAAAGTGGTTGTTCTCCGAGATGAGTATGACGGGCAGTTCCTACAGCGCAACCATATTCGGCGCCTCGAAGAGCTACCCCTGGCTGGACGCACCGAGGCTACAGGTAGGAGGCGCTGTGCCCCGCCGCCTTCTGGTTGTGTCATGTAAAAACACATAATTGGTTGCTTCGGAGCAAACCCAAACTCGCCTACAACGGCATCCAATCCAATTCCAACCACATCACACAGCAGATCTTAACATGGTAAACGCTCATTCATGTCTCAGAAAACAAAGAAATGATCTCAGACCGGCAGAAACCCAGTCACGCATTTCATCGAGCAGGTGAGAAGCAGGGGAGCAGGCAGAACCTCACCTCACAAAGAAGGATCAGGCAGACGCACAAGTAGAGAGCAAACCAGATGCAGCAGCCCTGCCAACAAGAAGAAAGGAGAGGGAACAAACAAGAACATGTCAGTATAGATCAATCTACGACGGGAGCAGCGGGAATCAACCAAACAAGGGGATGTGGTCCACTTGACTAGACGGCTCGGTTCGGCGCAAACCCCGCCGCTCGCAGTCGCAGAACCAACAAGATGCAATTGGTTGGCCAAAGTCATTGAAGGAGAGGTCAAGCTCCTCGAGGTTTGCGAGGTTGAGGTGTGAGAGCGACTGGTTTGCGCTCTGGAGTGAGCATTCTGCGAGGTCAAGCCCTCCCAGAGAAGGAATCATGTTGACAACATGAGGCCAAATCGACCACCATCCGGAGGTCTACTTGCTGCATGTTGAGGTACCGCAACAATGGCAGACGAGCCAGCCATGAGATATCTGCGGAGTATGTGGGGGCACGGCTTTCTAAGAGCAACTCTAGTAGACCCCACATCCCGCCGGCCTGCAAAACGCGTTTGCAGTTTGCGGAAAACGGCTTTTGCGGGCCGGCAAGGACGGTCGCAGATGTAGATCCCCCAAACGGACCCGTATAAAAGTATATTCGCCGAATATGCTTTTATACAGGTCGGTTTTGCGGTGTCTGCTCTTGCACCGCTGCTTTCCGCATCTCATCGGCCCGCAAAATATCAAATCCAACATAATACAACAAATGGAAGCAAACTAAATAATTATTCAAATTCAACCCAATACAACAATCATCCACATTACAAATAATTATTCAAATATTAAATAATGCAATACAAAACTTGTGATGAGTACAAATACAAATGAATACAAAAAGGAGTCACCGTCCAACCCTTTGCCAATGGTGCTCAATGAGATCCTCCTAAAGTTGAAAATGTGTGTCTGCATTTTCAATCTCCTTGTATGTCTGAAGAAAAGCTCTAATGTGGTTAGGGTCTCTAGCTGGTTTGACACGGCTACCCACATTGCCGTAGAAGAATTCCAAGTTCATTCCTCTCTCATCTTCAAGAATCATATTGTAAAGGATAACACAGCATGTCATGATATTTTTCAAGGTTTTCTTATCCCAAAAAACGAGCAGGACCACGGACAATGGCAAACCTAGATTGCAAAACACGGAACGCTCTTTCAATGTATTTTCGGGCTGCTTCTTGCACCCTTGCAAATTCACATTGTTTTTTAGTTTTGGGTTCTTTGATGCTCTTGACAAATGTGCACCAAGGAGTGACCGGCATACCAAAGAAGCAATGCCAAATCCATAAATCCTTGGATGCTACGGCCTCTAGCACAATTGTTGCATCACGAGACTTGCCACAATACATTCCTTGCCATGCCTTCGGGCAATTTTTTCATATCCAATGCATACAATCAATGCTACCTAGCATGCCAGGCCAACCTCTCCTCTCATTAGATGCCATCAATTTCTTTGTGTCATCCTTGTTGGGTGCCCGAAGATACTCAGGACCAAAGACACGGATGACCACTTTTGCAAATCTACGCACGGACTCAATTGCAAATCTACGAAGGTACTCATCGACATAGTCAGCCGGAACACCATATGCAATCACCCGCATAGCTGCGGAGATTTTTTGATATGCACTAAATCCCTTTAAGCCTGCAGCATTTCTTTCTTTGAGTAAAATACCGGCAATTTGCCTCGCAAGCTTGAACAATTTTCACAAAGAAAGGTCGACGCATTCGGTACCTTCTCCGGAAGAGGTGTGGTGGATATGTAGGATTCTCCGCGAAGTAGTCTTGCATCAACATCTCATTCCCAAGATGACGATTCCGAGGAATGCAAAGACGCCCGACGGTCGGTCCTCACCTTCTCTTCCGGTTCTCGTCTTCGTGCTCCTTCACGGCAAGTGACATGACTAATGTCTGCTGCCGAAAGTTCGCAAGCATGGTCTCAACATCCGAGTCGTGTGAGTCGTTCGAATCGGTGAGCAAGAACTTCTCGCACGGGCTCAAATCCATCTACATGCATACCGGCGCGTCAATCAACTATACCGCTCGCAAAAATCACAAAATACGTACTAACCGGTGGTGGATGCGACGGATGATCCCAGGCGGCGACGAGGGGCGGGCTCGACGGTGGTCGATCCCCGGCGGTGGCAGCGACGAGGGCGCCGCTCTTCTCGCCGGATACGGGGGTCGGTGCAGCGTGACGGCGCGGGAGGGTGGGGGGCGGCCCCGCGGCGCGATTCTGCCGCAGATTTGGCCGGAATCGCTGGCGGCGAGCGGGCGGAAGCAAGGGCAGTCGGCGGCGGAAGGGGGGTGGGGAAAATGCGCGCGGGCTGAAATGTCCCTCCCGCCAACTGCTTCTGTGTGATGCAGGGCGCCGCAGCTGCGACGGGGAAACCCGCGTATTCGCGGGTTGGGGCCGAGATTTTGCCGGACGGGGCGATATGCGGGGTCTGATCGGGCAGGTTTTTCCGTCCCTACCCGCATTTTGGCGGTTATTTTCCGGGCCGGGGCGAATGCGGGGTCTGTTAGAGTTGCTCTGAGAGGTTGGCATCCTCGTTTTGTGAGAGGTCAAGATGGCGCAACTTGGAGAGGTTGCCGAGCTGGGGCGGCAGGCAGGAGAGGTCGAGACACCTCAGGTTGCTGAGAGAGCCGAGGAACTCGGGCACGCGGCCGGTGCGCCCCTGAAGCAGCTGCACGCTGAGATCAAGGTGCGCTAGGTGCTGCAAGGAGAGCAGGGAGGGACTTATCTGGCCGGCCATGGCCGGCATGGCGCAGCTGATTCTGACGCAGTCGCCGCTGTGCGTGTGGCGAAGACGGAGCTGAAGGACATGGCCGGTGCGGTTGCTGCACCGGACGTCCCTCCAGCGGCAGCAGTCCTCGTGGCCGCCCGCGCCAGGCCGCCATGAGGCGAGCTGGCCCGCGGGGTCGCTGGTGATGGCCCGCTTGAAAGCCAGCAGCGCATCACGCTCCCGCGGCAGGCAGGCAGCGCGGCCATGGGTGGTGGCGGTGGCGGTGGATGGAGGCACGACTAGGAGGAGCAGCAGCAACTGACTGAAAATCGTGCCGGTGCTGGTGCTCGTGCTCATGGTGGTTGCCGCGAGCGGCCACAAGAGCTAGCCGTAATCTTGCTAGTTAACCTACGGTGTGTGCGCGCGGCTGTGTAGAATTGCAGGGCCATCTTGATTTGATTAGTACTCCTGCCTACCAGGCTACTCCACGCAGAGAGCAGGGTGGAGCTAGCAGACCGAGCTGGTCGACGGTCAATGGTCGCTTGGAGTGCTCTGCACGGTGAGCGCGTGGTTAACTTGCGTGGCTGTGGCGCATGCCGTGAGCCGTCCGGTCATCGATTGCTGCGTGAGATGATGGCCGTGCAGCCTCCGCGATGCCACTTGTGGTGGCCGTCATTGTTGACACGTAGCAGGTGTATAGCCGTATAGGTGGGGTCCATGCGAACCTTCAACCGCACAGTACATCGGCACCATTGGGTCACCGCCGCGATTAGCAAGGTGTTGCGTCGATGTTCTTGGTGGTTGTTTGTAAAGAGATCGACAAGAATCGGAGGAGAAAGCACCGCAATGGATATGGAGAAGGTGATGCTTCATTGCTCGTTCTGGGAGCGCAGTTTGTTTGCGTGTGTCTACGTCAAAACCATGCATGTGGCGACCGTGAGCGGGACGATCGGTGTATTGCTGTCAATGTTGGGGAAATCGTTAACTAGTAGCTGTTCATTCGGCCTGGGAGTAGCGATTAATTGATAAATCGACCTATTAACTGGATTAACGGGTCAACCATTAATAGGTGGAACTTTAAACTCAATAGGCGCATTTTTTGAATGGAAAATTTTGTTCAATGGAACTTGGTTGCTATAGAAAAAATAGACATTGCAAATATGAAGCAAATGGCACCATTTTCTTTTCTCAATAGATCATGAACATGTATACAACAACAATCATCAACAAACATCCATGTGGGCGTCGAAAATCATCAACAAACATGTACACAACAACATTTTTTTTGCTGATTTCAGCATGGGCCGCAATTTTGAGAGATGGTGGACGCGGGACGACGACGCGCAAATGGAAGGTGACGACTACTGCGCCGGGCGTCTGAATGGCGTCGTTTGAGGGAGGCGTCGCGGAAGGAGAAGAAGTAGCAATGTGCAAAGGGAGAAGAGGAAGCGGCGACACACATGGGAGGAGGGAAAGCGGCTGTGCGTCGATAAGGACCTGGCCAACCACCATTTATGTCGGGTGGGGATGAGAGGAGCGGCAGGGGGCGGGAGGAGGGCCAAACCCTAGCTATTTAGGCGCATGAGGAGGCTGGAGGGGTTATGAGCCAAAGTAACCGGGCTTTGTTTGCGCATCAGTTAACGACTCAGTAGCGATTACTCGGCCTGTCAACCAATTAACAGGTCTCACATGCCATTTAATCAGCCTAGCAAGTTAACACGACGAATGAGTGTTATTTGAGTCGGCCATCCTAGGAGTAGCGATTAACTGACATGTTCACTGACTAATCAGATGAATTCTTTGAAAAGTGATTGTAGTAGTGTTGTCAGCAAGCAGGGGTAGCAACACATGACAACTTTGTTTTTGGTTGTGTTCTTCCAGCGTCGAGTCTCGATTTCCAACTTGAAAACCCTAGCTCTGACCTTCATTGGTTGTACCTTGCAATGGCGGACATCTGTATGTTTCCACGTTGAAGGCAATGTCTAGAGATTAGGTGGACTTTTCTCCAGGATGAAAATCCGTGATCTGACTTTGGTGGTTGATCGGATGATGACATCGCTTGTGCATGATTCCATCCCGGAGGCATCGCTCTTGGAGACCTTTTTTGACAGTGCCACTGTTGCCGATGGTGGTTTCTGCTGCTTTGCTGATCCCTTTGGAGGGGCCATTTTCATTTCTATTTCCTTTTTGTTTTTCATTCTGCCCAGTAATGGTTTTGGTCTTGTATGGCTTTGCTATTTGTTTTTTCTTTTTTGAAACGGAGGCAAAGATTGCCTCATCTATTAATTAAGCAGAAGAGAATTGCCCAGTTAATTACGGAAAACTGGGTGAAAACCGGAACAACAAGGGCCAAGCCCACACCCCTAGATTGAAACACATTGGGCAAAGCCCACCCTATTGGACAACATGTCAACCTACAGCCAGACAACGCAGCTCCGACTCTGACGGAGAACTCAGAATAACAAAACCAGGCACGGCTGGCGCCACGAAAGATCACCGAACGGGCCACCTGCAGCCAGTCATCGTACACCACAGGGGCCCGCCGCCGCAGCTTCGACTCCACAGCAACAAACAAACCGAGGCAATACCGTGGACACGCCGGAGAAGAGCCGACTACCGCAA